AAAGAAATGGAGTATTACAGATAATGTTGAAGTCTCCTTCGTTCCCTTCTCCCATTCCATTCTCACGTCACTTTCAGTATTTCCTTTCCAACTCCTTTAATTCTCCAAATTTTCCTCACTGGGATGAATAATGAAATAGTCAAATCTTTTTTTTGCTAAATTGTATTATTCAATAAAATATGCATTGGGGACAACACATATTGCAACAAAGAAAGGGAGCTCTGGAAAAATTGCATGCTCACTTACATAAGCCTAAAGTGTGATCCACATTCCTATTTCTCGTCACACTCCCCCTGCAAATTCAAAGTTCTACTATTTGAGAATTGAATTTTCTATGGAATCAACTATCTTTCTGAGTTTCTAAACTTGACCAATATCACAAAAGTTCAGAACTGCAATTACTTAATAAAGACAAGGTTTCTCAATGCATAAAGGTTAGAGGAATGATTTTTAATGAAAATCAAAAGCCTCTGATTCCATATTCTTCTAAATTTGCTGAGATGAAATGTTAGGTCCGTGTATAAATATAGAAAACCTATGTTAGTATGTTTTTGTACCTTAGTACTTTCAGTATCTAAGAGGCATGATGATTATGATTCAAGAGAAATACCTTCATGGACACCAACCCATTGGTGGTGGTGGTGGTTTAATATTCATGGCAAATTAAAGTAATAAAGGAACTTTTGAATAAATGCATTTCCATCTCAAATTAAATACTGTTCTGCTGAATCAATTTGCTAAAAATAGAGACAGACTTAATGAAACAACCCTAAATCAAACAAATCACACTGTTTTCTGTAATCCATGTGTTGTGACTAATAACAACTGAATGCAATTTATAAAAACTACCTTCTAATTTGGACCAAAAACAATTGTTTAAAAGTCCTAGTTATATTAGTCCTTTAGCTTTGTAGTTCAAGATTAGGAGAGACTTCTGTACCCTGTCCTCTGTGATCTCACAGCATTCATCATTCTTCTATTAAAATTGTCCAGACTATTATCTCCTTTAAGGCCTGGGCCAAGTTTTATTTGTCTCTGCAGTTCCCAATACACAAGGCAATGACTTGTACTCAATAAGTAACTGTTCAATGACCGAATGAAAGGATACAAGAAGAAAGGCTTCTATTTTCAATTAAAAATCTTATGTGCCTCTAAGCCATTGAAAATTCTGAGCTCATTATAGATATTAATTTCACCATCCCCAAAAATATGTATGTAAAATCTTTAAACAAATACCTTAGCCAACTCAGCTCATCATTTTCCTTGTGTCCTTAAGGAGACAATAAGTATTCAGGTGTTTGATTGCTATGAATTTTTCAAATAAGTATGGAACTCTGGAGTCACATTTCAGTAAATACTTCATATCTAAAACCCTACAGCAGGCATCTGCCTGGTCAACAAAACTGCTCTAGAGAGTGTGTGTGGATAACAGGTCTTTGGCCATTTCAAGTAGGTGATCTGCCTCTGTTATAAGTTTTAAATATCCTTTAATTTAGCATTCCCTACAATGTACTCTTTGGAACACTAGCTTTATTGAGAGAAAAGCTTACTACATTACAATGCATTTGAGCAATCCTGCATAATATGTATCTTCTTTATATTGACATGTAATAAACAACTCTGAGAAACATTTTACAGAAGCCTATTTAAAAATGATTAAACCAATATTTATAAAACTTTTAGTTTTTAGTAGTACCTATTAATTTTGCTTAGAACTAGTGCTCTGAGGTATATACTTTGGAAAATATTTTTTAATTGAATCTCAAAAATCCTAACAGATTTGTAGCAAATGAAAATTTATTTTTTACAAACTATGAGTTTATTTAAATAAGAATTGATATTGTTGTGGCTCATGCTCTTGGTTTTCCAAGTTTTACATGTAAAACTTGGATAATCCCTCACCCATTTGGGTATTTTCTATTGCAGAATTATTAATTCCAAACTTTGCAACTGGGCCTAGTACGTTAGTAAGTGCATCCTTTGCATAAGATGATGTCACCGTAAGCCATCTGCGGGACACTGCTCTGATTCATCCCCACTCCACTGTCTACATCTCTAAGTAGAGATTTCTATGAATTGGAGGTCACTGAGGACATAACCTATGGCCATACAGAGCAATGTTAATGAGTTTGCATGAGAATTCACTAAATTAGTTAGTTCTTTTTTGCCAAACTAAAGAATTTACAGATAGTATGGTTGGTGAAAAGCATATTATGTGATTCTTAGCTAGGCTTCTTCAAATGACTCTGAGTTATTAAAAATCTCATCTGTGTTTTGTCTTAGTAAAAACTGAATCAGTAAATCTTCACTTTTTCCAT